ATCAGCTCGTAGCTTTGAACATGTAGTTCCCATAAGCTCAGAGAGACATTCAGGGAAATGTATGCGAGGGGAAATTGGGAGCTTTTACTAGATCTTGCAGCAAAAAACAATTCTGCAGTTTCATTGTCTTAATGACGATGACATCCTGGCCTCTCCCACCAGGTGTCACTGCGAAGTCACACAAGAGGAGCTGCTGGGGCTAACGTGAATGCAGGCAGAATGAAGATTAATAAGGCACACGAGTCATCGCTGAGAAAGTCTCTTCTCACTCCTCCTCTTGCTCCTTAGCCAGAAATTAAGCACAGTAATACTGCTGTGCTTTAAGCTCAACAGAGCAGAGGATGACTGTAATAATGGGGGCAGGCATAGCCTGCACCGTGTAAGAGTGTTCACGGCTGGCCATCTGAGGTGGGGCCGGTGCCTGAGGGCCAGGGGTGGCTCTCCCCGACGTGAGGATGAGGAGATGTCTACATGAGAAGTCACAGCCAAGGTGTAAGGATCATGTCTGGAATGGGGTTGCTCAATTTGAGATGATCTTTAGAGGCTTACAGGACAAACCCTTCTGATCTCTCTGAGAGCAACAGGAGGGAGTAACTCATGTGTATTTCTTTTGTAGTCAATGTCCCTAAAAATCAAAAATGCGTCCCGCAGATAAAGTTGCAAAAAAATTCTAAGGGACTGCTCTTACATCTGAGGACACTTGCAGCAAAACACAAGGAAAACCCTCAGTTTCACACTGTATAGATGGGATAGGCTCACCCTTAGGTGAAAATCTTTCCTTCCCCTCGTGCTGGCAACAGGAACACTTACCACTCTGTTGCATCCTGCTCCCCCGGGATTTCCAAGAAGCTAAGATGTTAAGGAGCTAAGTAGCTCTCCAGAAGCCATGTATCTCTACCTTTGAACACAGACTTGCTCAAAGGAGGTCACACCAGGACTTTATAGTAGTGCAGCCCAGAAAAGATCCCTGTCATGCTTGGCAGAGCCATGTAGAGGGACCCTGAATTATTCTGCTGGACTGTCACTGATCTGGCAGCACTGTGCTAACACAGAGGGAGGTCCTCCTGCCCTATTCCCCAAGTTCCAGCATCACACTATCCCAAACTTGACGAACTTCCAAACTGGAACACAGGGACACCACAACCTTCTCTTTGTCACTTAGCAGGATCACAGAGGCAAGCTCTGCCAGAGCCTGTCACTGCCACCCATTATCACAACACTGGAACAGTTTCTCCAAGTGCTTGGTAGCAGATGAAGATACTTTAATTATACCATGACAGAATTAATTTCTGTTGGAGAATGTTCTAACAAAATGTTTCAATGAAATTGATTTTACCTGCAGTTTACTTTTAATAAAAGTAGTGTACTTTTTAAAAGTATTATATATGTATATGTATACCTTCTGTGATACCACCACTTGTTACAAAATTATCTTTAAGCCTCATTGTTGCTAAAACATATTCTCAGACTAGGACACTGAAAGATAAAACAGTTTTTGCTGGTGCTGTGCATTTAAATGCTTAGCTGGTTTCAGCTGCAGAACTTTAAACTCTCTTTTACAGGATATAATTCCATTTTAGTATAAGCATCTATCAGGTGCAGCTCTGAAAATGTTAAGTCAGACTATGAAAACATTGTCAATGCTTATTTTAGTAATAAAAGCCATGTTTAATCTATGCTTTCATGTTACAGTAATCTATGTATCAATCTATCACCCTCCAGCTAAATGCACTAAGTAGATTAAGCTCTGATTGATTTGAAATGATTTTCACTATATTATCAAAAGTCTACAGATCAGCATAAATACCCTGAAGAAATTTTTTTCCCCTTTGGCAGATTTACAAAAGCAGAGCTTAACTTGAATTGAAATGAACTTCTGCATTTTTCCAGGGCAAAAAGTCTGTCAAATCTACTCTAGATCTGCTCTGCTTCCGGACTTAGTAAAAATCTGTGATTAATAGTACAGTGCATCCATTCTGTCGTGACAAAAGCCATCATGTTATGAAGAAAAGTGCTCCCTCTGGGTCTATCATTTATACCAAGTGTCAGGAGTTACCCCTAACGGTGGCACTGCTGGAGCTGCAATCTGCACAGTGTGCTGTGCAAACACCTCTTGGAAAGAATGGGGGGAGTTTTGTTCATTTGCTCCTGCAATGGCAATAAAAGACAAAACACTTCCCCCCTTCCCCCCCCCCCCCGCACTTAGGGAAAGTGAGAGGCAGTCGTGAGCTGTCACAGTAACCTGTGGGTGGTGCACAGAGGCTCGGCTACTGCTGCTGCTGGAGGTGGTGGACCTCAGCAACAAAAAGAGCAGGCGAAGGAAGAGGAGTGTGCTGAACTCTCTGTGATCCTGTCTCAGCGTTTCTCACAGCTCCTTTGCAGACTATCTGCTGGAGATGGCTGCACAGATGGGACGAGATTCCTACATATGCTCAGCATTCATCTCAGTAGCTCACTGAGATGGTGGCAGTGCAAACAAACACGGGTCTGAGCAGCCTACCCAGCGCAGTTAGGGAGGTGGGGAAGACACGTCTATAAATGTCATTGGGAATGGGGGAAGAGGAAAACACTTCTGAGGTGGTAAAATGAAATCTTTTCCCAGATTTCAAGCAATTCCAGTAAGGTAAGTTTGGATTTAAAATATTGTTCCAGTTTATCCTACTGAAGAGGAGGCACGCAAGAACTGGAGAGAACTTTGAAAAATAAAGGTGCTGGTAGCAGCATGCTGGCAGAGCGTCCCAGCTGCTGCTAGGGTCAAACCTCAACCTCACTGACAATGATGCCTGTACTGCCATGGACTCCGGTGGGGAGCTGTCATCCATCTCCCAGTGTTCTTGCCCATTTACCATGACACAATACCTAATTTCTTCAGGGATCCTGTTTCATCCATGCATACATGCAGAGAGCTGGCACCTGAACAGATCCATATGATCCTGTGTCCCCACAGCTTGCTCAAGTGTCTGCCATGAATGCTCAGTCCTGACTCCAGTCCCAGGTTTACCTCCACAAGGACTGTATGAGTGATGCAGTGCAAGACAAGAAGCTCAGCTCACACAGTCCAGCCCTGGATTTGATTTTGGATTTTGCACCCCATCATTCAGGAACGCTTATATCTGAGCTCTTCCTGCGGGTCCTTCCACTTATAGCTTGTGAAGTAAGAAAAGCTTTTATTTCAATATAAACCCTACTTGGCCACAAAAGGACATTTCCAAAGGGATGCTATACCCAGATTTCTGCAAAACATACTCCCAATGAATAGCAGGTTCAGTGGTCCTGCACTGTGCACACTGTTTAGAGAGTTTACAGAACCTGGCTTGGTAAAACCAGAGTGGTTTTGATCATACATTCATTTCTTATCCCAGGACATTAGTGTAAAGTTAACAAGAAAGTTCATTACAAAGGACAAACATGAAAGTCAATGTCAGCCAAGAAACTGCCTGAGCAATCCTGTAATTGAAAAAAAAATATGTGTCAGCAAAACAAGTGTCATCACAGGCTTGCTGGCATGCTTGGAGTTCAGCGCTTGACAAACTCCTCTCAGCATGGTGCTATGTGTGAGACTCTAGGAGAAGACCTTATGTACTCAACGATGTTTCTCAGCAGAAGACAGCTACTAACATGCACATTTGACCTACAGAGTCAAATAGGCCTGCCCACTACTTCAGCAACACATTAATAAATAAAGCAAAAATGAAGAAAATCAGCATTTTCTAACTTCTTAGCCACTCCTCTGCTTACAAAGTGCTTCACAAGGAGGATATTCACCTGGAAATATTCTGTGGTACTGTGTAAATGCACATTAAATATCAGAAATAATCTAAACCGCTATCACATTTTCCCACTGATGTGTTTGAGAGTTTGTACACTAATTCATAGGACCAACTTCTCCACGGGTGTCAAACAAAACAATTAATTTTAATTTCCTCATTTTTGAGCCCAACAGCGCCAGCTTAGCTGCGAGACAGAGTAATTTAAGGAATGATTAATATCTTTGCACCAATTAATGGCTGGCATTTTGCAACGTATTCTGTTCCATTAAGCTTCAAGGGAACTGGGAGCAGCCAACAGGGCACAGCTAATAGATGTATCCAGACACTTCTTTTAGTAGAGGTAAGAAAAGACTGGGACTGGGCTGGGACCTACAGGAAAAAATGTGCTTTAAAGGGAAACTGTCCCAGGAAAGAGACACTGCCAAGTCCCAAAACCAGGATCCTTATGAAAATGAACTGCTGGCAGAATTAGCTAGCAACAGAGAGAGGGATGCATATTGTGTACATATTAAACAGATATTTAAATTTTCATTCTGATAAAGTATTAGCTTGAAAGCCTAGAACATCCCCCAAAAGAGCTGGGGATGGCAGGGATCCTTTCCTAACTAGTGAGCAGGTGAGACTATTTCGCAAGCAGCTGCACACAGACACCTGAAGGACCATTTACCACCTGAAAGGACCAAAGTAAAGCAGCGCTCCAGCAATGACCCTCTAGTCCATCAGGTCCATTTTCAAGGGAAAGAAGCCAATTACTGCAAGGATCTGTCTGCTTTTAGAAAAATTTCAGGTAGCAAGATCTGGGCAGTTTCCAGGGCACACCTAGTGCTGTTGAAAAAAAACAATCGAGTGAAATATTTTCCTTGCTTCTTCCTTTTAAATAAAACCCTTTTCCCTCACCAGTTCTGTCTGCTTCTGTGATTTGAAAACTGGCACTTCCATGAGTGATTGCAGGTGCCATTAAATAATGAAGCAGTTCTGTTCATTAAAGCTTGGTGATTTATTACCTTTGGACTAAGGGAAAGAAAAACAGCCTGAAAACAGAATTCTTACATCATTTCATATTATTTCCAGTCCAGTAGTTCAGACAACTGTTGGAATAGCAGATTTTCAGCTTCATGGTCCACCAGTCCTCAGAAATACAACACTGAACATCTAATTCCAGCCAGTTCTGTATATCTAGAGCGTAACTTAAACTCATATCTAACTCCTGCCCTAAATGTCATGTCCTACCTTCGTACAGCCAGTCGCTGAGCCCATTGAAAATAACACCTTCCTTTCCTGTGGAGACCACTCGGATGGCTTGTTTCCCCACATGGGCACAGTAATAGATGTTATTCTCAAAGATAAATATCTGATTTGAAGGGAAAAAGAAAGAGAGAACAGCATTAAGCAGTGGCTCCATTATAAAATGTTGCATTTTGCTTTTACAATAATTGGCAGTACAAAATCACATATCACATTTTTATAGTGTCTTTTGTCAAAAAAGGATTTCCACAGCCTGGTTCCAATGCCATCTGCTAATAGAAAGATGCTAATTTACAACAAACTGAAGCCTTGGTCCTTTGATACAAGCTTTATTTTTCTCACTCCTGTCTTCATTTCAGAAATTGAACGGTGCTGTTAGGGAGCATGAAATGAAGAATGTCATTGCTCAGGGTTTTGAAAAAGTGGTCCAGGACACAGTAGAAGCTGATGGTGATACCATGAGGTGAGTGAACTGGCTACTGGAAACTGCTTCTTTCTTGTTTTCAGCTGCTCCTGTTTTCTTAAAACACATCTGGCAACATATTAAATAATTTGGAATCCAGTTTTTAATGCAGATGCAACAAGAGAACATGTGCTATTGAACAGGGGGTAGTCTGTCACTGCAGCCCAGTGGGCAGCAAACAAGGCACAACCTCCATGAGGGGCTTGGTGTTTCAGCTGGGGAGGAGATGCACATGCTCTGAGACCCAAAGGGGTGTGCTAGACCTCCTGCTCTGTCCTGTTCACCCAACCACCTTCCTACAGGAACCAGGGTGGATGTGATGAAGGAACATGTGGGATCTCACCTCTATGCCAGCATGGATGGAGCTGCCATAACTTCCAGACTGTCTTTGGAAACCTTTCCCTTCCTTTCTAGCAAGAATCTAGTGAATTCAGGCTGATGAAAGATTACACAATCAAATTGCTCTTCAGGAGGGCAAGGGGAGGCCCACACCAAGGATTGCCATCAGGTACCTCAGCTTGCATCTGCAAATGCCTGCTTACACAGCTGGTGCTGTCCAGGGGAAAGTAATCCCATCTGGGAGAAGAATTTATAAAGTTCTTATCAATCATAAAAATTTCAATTCAAGACTGGCAGGAAAGGAGCCTGACATAACATTCTCAAATAAGCTGCCTGTTTTGTTTTTTTTTTAAAAAAAGCTAATTTCATGGGAATCATTAGATCTACTGCTATTTTGGGAATCAGGCTGTTTATTTAGGTGTTTAAGTGCCAATCAGCAAGCAAAACTTTAACCAGCCATCAAAAAAAATATTGTTCCATGACATCAGTCTTTATCATCAGGTTAAATGCTTTATTCTGTGTTTTCCTGTCACTGATGACACAAATCTTGTCCCCTCCTCACCCCAAAGTGAACCACATCCACCTCCAAGTAGTGCTCTTGTTTTTAAAATATTTTAAAACTTCATTCAGACTGCAAAGATGTACTGAACAGAGTATTAGAAAGCCATTTAGACTGAAAGACAAACTGTTAATATAATTTAGTAGACATTTACAGATGGGTTCCTATACGCTTGAAGACATTGGAATAAATGTTAGTATCTTCACCACGATACTAGAACGCAATTTCTCGTATTACATTCATGAAAAGACAGAACTGGGAAAAATATTTGCTTCAGCTTCTGTTTCACATGCTATTATGGTATACATTTCACCTAAAGATAAGCTGGAAAGATTCCAGAAGAAAGTATAGATCCTAATTTAATTTTGGCTCCAGTTACAGTGAGTTTGCCTAAAGATAAGAAAATATGACTGAAACTGCAGTTTGCTTTTATTCATTTTAAACTAAGAAAATTGCATCCAAGTATATTTTTTGAATAGAAGAAACATGTTGTGGAAGACACTCCATCCTCCTTCCTACCTTTAGTTTTAGTAAGCAGAGCAGCCAGATGAGAGTAGCAAGTAAAGCATTTTATGTTAGCTAGTCTGCATATGGGAGGGTCGTTGAAGCTTAGATGCATACAAAAATCAGGAAGAGTAAACAGAAGAAGATATGTTGGGCCCAGACAAATCCAGATCTCTGTGTCCAAGAGCTGAATGTGCTGGAGGTCCTTGGGTGGGGGCTCTTCTACAACAGGCATACAATCAAGTGGAGTTGCAATACAACACTTCCCTTGCCTGGATTCTCCCAGCAAATTCTGCAATATTTTGTACTGTATCACATTTTAAATGAATTTACAAGAAAAAATAAAGAAGGTGGATTGACAACCTGTTCCTTCCCTTTGCTCTGTAAAGCATCACAATGTTTTCTGTCTTTACTGTTTTATCTTTCCAAGCTTCATTGCACTAATCAGGTTACATGAGGTGTCTGGTAGCTGCAATGGAAAAAGAATATAGTGCCCTGACTTCAAATTGTCTCCCATATAATTCAGAGCCAAACTGCAGCACCTCACAGAGAATTCAAAATTATCCTGCTAACTACAGCGCCTTGTACCCTAAAAATGTCAACCATAATCAAGATAAAAGATAACTGAAGCAGGACAAGGAAGATTACTGTGTAATGTATCTTGTAAATTAAGAAAAAGCTTTTGAATTTCTGCTATATATCAAAAAGAAATGTCTTTGGATTACTTCACATTCTGGATTAGAAAGTTATTAGATGATACGATAAGATACCTATATAATATTTTTTACTGGTTTGGTTCTATGACATCAAAGCAGGGATTTCTATCAAATGATCACAATCCTTTTGGGTTACTAGAAGATATGAAATTTTAGTAAAGAAAAATAATTTTGAAATGTATGGACATCACTTTCATATTATTTTATGCTTGTGTTTCACAAGTTCTTGTTTTTTTCAGTTCTAGACTTATGTGAAATGGCAACAGAAGGGGTCAAAAGCTCAGTTTTATGGTTCTCTGTCTAGGAGATGAAGACCAGACATAAAATTTTGGGTGTCTGCTCTTTTGGTGTGCATATTTTAACAACACTTTACCCCAAACATTCTTGTGATTTATATGCCTTTTTTCATGGGCGGCACATAAAGTCCAGTATTGAGCACAACTCATGGTGTGGAAACTAAACCTGTGCTACGTGAGGAAGACAGCCCCATGTTGAATACCATGTCCATTTTCATCATGACACATTCAACGTGGAAGAAAAAGAATATATTCTGAAAGAAGTAAGTAGAATTGAAACATCCATAGATAGACTGAAGAAAATGAAATTGCTAACTCTACAGAATAAACAAGGAAGACATAAGCTCTACAAGACAATGGTGAAGAAACAAAAAAAAAAGGAAAAGGATGCTTTCACTCTTTCATTTCTCCAAAACAATGGGAACCAATGAAACCTAGAAGAAAGCTGTTTAAAATTGAATAAAAATATTTTTCCTTATGTAACCCAAATTAATGCGTGGAACTTCTTGCCACTGGATGTAACAGAAGACAAGAACTTAATTCTCTTCTTGCTGGATGTTGTAATAGATGCTCAATAGATTAAATATTTAACAAATATAATTGGAACATCTTGAAGGAGTAAGATAAAGGCTTTTGGTTTGTTTTGTCTGTTTTAAATGCATCTATTTAATCCCAGGGTAACAAAAATCAGTGGAGATTTTGCTGTTGGCTTTATGTGGCTCAGGATATCACATGAAACTTTCAGCATAAGTTATAACCCCTTTAGCCTCAGGTACCAACACATCACTAACTCATTTACTCTAAATTATTAGCACATTGTAGAAGTGTGTACATTTCCTACACGCCACAAGACATGCTTCTGCACTGCAAGGCCAGCCCACAGGATTTAACTACAAAAGAGTAGTTAACATGGAAAAGTTGACCATTTAACATGGAGAGCCTGGTCAACAAGTGGACTCCACAGAGAGATCCAAATGAAGACATAAAGGAAGCTAATATCTTCCTAACTTCAGAGATTATTCTAGAGCAGCTTTTATGGTGTGCTGGGTGCTCCACCATCCAAATAAAGTCAATCTGTGCAGTTCATATAAGTTAGGTATCTAACTCCCACTGATTACAAACACCCAATAAAAAGCCAGTTGTCAGATGCCTTCATCCACTCAAGCTCTGGTCCATTAGCCATTGACAGCAATGGCAGCACAAGCATGCATTCAAATTAGACCATCAGTAGATTGCTAAAGGAACAAAAAAATAAAATGCATGGTGAAAACAATCTTGAAGAAGAGACTATCCTCCCACCCAGTCCTGCTGCTAAGCCAGACTCTGGCTTCTTCATGCACACCCTTCAAACATTCAAAAATCCCCCTCCTCCTGCTGCAGGGCAGCACAGCCCTAAAAGAAGGACTGTAGCACATGTACAATGACTATCACCTCCGTGCTGTTGCTCATGGTCCTAACCACTTCCAAATCCTTGGGCTCTTCTACCTAAACTCCAATTACATAAAACCTCTTAAGCAACACCCACCCATTTCTCCACACATGACCTATGAGAATACATCTGGGCAAATTACATTGATCATTTGAGGTAAATCCAGACTTCTGTATGGTTGGGCAGCCCTTGAATAGTGAAGGACTGCATCAGTGGTATATAAATGGGGACTCAACTGCCTAAAATCAATCTATGTGCAGTTTAAGGTTCCTACCTACTTTCTGTCAATTACCTCTTCAATCAAGAGCGCATGTAAACATTTGTATTTGGTTTACACTGTAAGGGTTTGGTAGCAGAGATAGCTTCTGAAAAAGACACCAGGATCTGCCCCCATTTTGGACAAAGCCTGTTCTAGACAGCTCCAAGACCTATCCATCACTGACCAAAGCTGAGCCTATCAGTGACGGTGGTAGCATCTCTGTGACAATATATTTATAAAAGTTATAAAAAGTGTGCAACAGATATGAGAGAGGAGTGAGAAAATGTGAGAGAAACAGCCCTGCAGTCACCAAGGTCAATGAAGAAAGAAGGGTAGGGAGTGCTCCAGGAACTGGAACACAAATTCCCCTGCATCCCGTGGTGAAGACCATGGTGATAACCATGGTGACACAGGTTGTCTTGCTTCAGCCCATGGAGGTCGATAGTGAAGCAAATATTCACTCTGCAGCCTATGGAGGTTCCCATGCTACAGCAGGTGAGTGTGTGCTAAAGGAAGCTGCAGCCCCTGGAAAGCCCAAGCT